GACATTAGATCCTATCTCCGTTGTGTCATGCAGATTACTCTTCCTGCACATCCTTCTCTCTGCGTATTGATTTGGGGCGTCCTACCCAGCCCAGCTCACAGCACTCACCTACTTCCCACCACTTAGTCACTCATCCTCAAGCCGCTCCCTTCTTCATGAATTAATAAAATCTGCGTTCAGCCCTGGGTGGAGGCCTTTGTTCTGGTTGGCCACCACCCTGGCTGGACTGAGGACTCCTTGGCTCCCCATAATTACAAATATGCCTTAGTGGGCTGGGGTACAGCTCAGCAGCACGGCACCTGCCTGGCAAGTGCAATTTCCATTATTCCACCCCCCCAAAAAAAAACCTCTCTGCCAAATATGCGTTAGTGTCTTTATTCTCGCCATGGGTTGAATAGGAAGTGGTAGATTGGACTTAACTTGCTAGAATTCCAATAACTTTTCCATGGGATTACAAATATAAACTTCCTGGGCCATGATGAGGCAGGAGGATTACAAGTTCCAAGCCAACCTAGGCAACTGAGTGAGACCTTGTCACAACACAACATATACCACACCGTACCACACCACACCACGCCATACCATAATGATATCATAACACCACAAAACGTAAGGGGTGAGGATGTAGCTCAGTGGTAGAGCATTTGCCTAGTATGTGTGAGGCCCTGGGTTCAATCTCCAGTACTGGAAATCAAAAAGCAAAAAAAGAACAAATTAGGCGGCGGTGGTTACATAAATCTATATATGTGATTAAACTGCATAAAACTGCTACTGCTATTACACACACGTGTACACACACACACACAAATGATTTCACATAAAAACTGGAGAAATCGGAGAAAGACTTGTTAGTAGTGGGCTAGTCCTGCGTTTTAGTATTACGTATTATGCGAAACCATCTTGCCACTATCCTGACAACCTGTGGTCCAGAAGTGCCCCCCAACATAAGAAGAAGAACAGTGGACCAAGGTCTACTACAGAAACGTGAAAGAAAGAGAATGAAGAAACCCAGTTCCGCGAGGTGCTGGGCAGAGTCCTGCTGATCACCAAATAGCAAGTGACTTTAGAGAGTCCGAAGCAAGAGTTAAAACAAAATGTACAAGTTAAAAATAAAAAAGGAGAGTTATAGTTTGTGTCTAGATGTCCCCCGAAAGCCTCGTGTGGTCACAGGTGGGCTTTTTGGAGGTGACTGGATCTAGGGTGTGTGCTGCTGGGATCGCAATGCTAGGAATATGGGTAGTGCTACCTGCCCTAAAGGTGCAGTCTGGATAAAACCCCAACAAAGAAGGTTGTTGCTTAGCACGTGCTGCCTGTTGCCTTCTGCCTGCCTGCTCTGCCAGGCCCCTTGGCCACACCACCCTGCCTTGGAGCCAACTATGAACTGAAACGTCTATGAACTGTGAGCTAAATAAACCTCTACTCCTTTGACTTTAGGTACTGAGTATTTTTTCTCAGCAACGAGAAAACTAGGACACAGTTGATTCTAAAAGGTCTACTGATAAGCACTGATGCTAAAGAACATTAAATTTATTTTCTGGTACCGGGAATCGAACTCAGGACCTTCTACTTGCCAGAGAGGTGCTTATGTCTCTGAGCTATATCCCCAGCCCAAGAGCATTAAATTTAAATAACTGTTATATATGATTATAAAACTGGAAGCAAATATCAATGTTTAGAAGTGAAGATGATTAGAAAAACTGCACTGGCCCAGCGTGGTGGTGGTACACACCTGTAATCCCAGCACTCAGGAGGCTGAGGCAGGAGGACTGTTAAGTGTTTAAGACCAGCCTGGGCTACAAAGTGAGCTCAAGGCCAGCCTGAACTGCATAGCAAGACCCTGTCTCAAAAAGACAAAAAGAAAGAAAAAAAAAGAAAGAAGAATTGCACTATAACTATAAACTAAGTCTACAATCTCAATATAAAACAAATAAACAACCTTAAGAATAGATTTATGAAGTGGAAAATATAACTACTCCTACTTTCCTTATCTTAGAAGGGGGGTCAAAAAATATAATTTTATTTTTTATGATGATACCAAATATATGCTGTTTAAAGAACCCCAAAACAGTATCTTGACAGAATATAAAATAGAATTGGTATTTGTTAAAACTCTAGAGAAAAAAGAAAGCAAAATCTAAGATGCAAGATACCATGAAAAAAAGAGAACTCTGTTTTAAAATTCTGACTGGAAAACAGGGGCTGCGGTGTGACTTGGTGGTGGAGCACTGGCTGCATGTGGCCGCGGCCCTGGCTTCCACCCCAACACCGTGAAAAGAAAGGAAGTAGAAGTTATGAAAGAAACACAAACAGCTTTCCCTTTCCCGTTAAAGACCAAGACTCCAGCTTGGCCCAAAGAAGGTTTCTCCACCTGTTCTTCCCATATTCTAAGTTTTAAAGTAATCTATGCATAAATTGATATGTCAAAAAAAATCAACTAATAAAGGCTAAACAAAAGCACAAGAAAGCAGGCGAGGCATTGTTAATATCAGACAGCGAGATTTGTGATGCGGTATTAAAATGAATCATAAAGCAACTGTGGTTTTTAAAACTTAGTACCAATATAATAACAAGTGCATCAGAGAACTGAAACACAGTGTTTAGTAAAAGAACTTCCACAATAAAGCAGACTTTTATTAGGTGAGAAACGACTTTTTATAACCCAAAACCAGAAACAATTAGTAACTCAGAAAAAGTAAGTATTTGTAAGAAAATAAAGTTCATTAAAAAAGATGAGCATCCCTTATGTTTATAGGCAGATTTGACTACATCGTTGACACAAGCAGCCTAAATTCAAATGTTCAGCAAACACCTGAAAAAGCCCTGCCACCACTGATAATGAGATGGGCAATCACTAATAATGAGATTCGAAGGGCAGGACAGTGGGCTACCTCAGGACTGTGGACTTGTACAACCTTTACGAAGGCTGTTTGGCCCTAAGTACCACAATCCTTAAACTCGTTCTCGGCTCCTTTGAGAACCCACCCTCAGGAAATAGAATTTGTTTATTAAGGGTTCTCCCCAAGTGTCGGGGGACTGGCAGAGTCACCACAGATGGGCCAGGGGAGTAGCCCAGCCCTGCCCACTGGGTGAGCAGCAGTGAGTGACATCAGCAGAAGCACCTGCCTCTCAGAGCCTTGGAGGACCGACCTGGAGAGGCAGGCATTGGCATCTGCACGGTACTGGCCCCAGCGCAGCCCCGCAGATAGTACCTGCACCACTGGATGAGCGATGCCAAGTCCCGTGGTGAAATGCTGCGGCCGGGGTGCTCTGGAATGCAGGCCTTTACCTAAGTAGGTGTGGGTCAGTGCTCGGCGATTTTAGTATTCTTCTGGGAAAATCTATGAATATTCATTTTAAGTGAGATAAACACTTAAGGGTCAGAGGGTGTAGTCAAATCATGAGAAAAAATTTTCATTTTCTAGAGCTTTCCAGGGTTCAGATTTGAACAAGAGGAACCGAGCCCTGCATTTATGACAGAGGAGCAGCAGCCTCCACCTCAGTGGGTAACCATGAGACAGGTTTGAAAAGTCCCGAGAGATTCATAAAAAGGAAAACTACACAGCTGTAAAAATCATTTTTTCAAAAAATATTTAATAAGATGTAAAAATATTCAATAATACTAAAAATTAAGTAAGATTTAAAAATTGTGTGTGTATAGCTCAGCGGCAAAGTGCTTCACTGGCTTGTATAAAGCCCTGAATTCAATCCCCAGCGTCCAAATAAATAAAATAAATAAATAAATAATTTGTATAAAAGAAAATCATACAGAAGTTTTTACTTCCAGAATAAAAGACTGCAAGGAACCATGCCAGGAATTTAAATTAGCCACGCTGACTAGGATTTTTCTATTTTTCTGTATTTTCTAATCTGCTATGATAATCAGGAAAACAATCTGACAATTTCTGAGCCACACGGCGCTGCCTTTCCTGTACAGGGTCAGGCCAGCCACCGCTCTGGACGAGCCACGAGCCCCTGCTTGTCTCCGGGAACCCATCCCTCCCCGACCTGCTGGGCACCCAGTGCCTCATCCTCCGTCACCCATGCCCTGCTGGCCACTCAGGAGAACGTGACGCGGCCCCCAGGGCTCCTCCACCTCTGCCAAATAAACACGGGGCCCTGCCCGTCCATGGTGCACAGGCAGTGGCGGTGCAGTTAGACTCGGCCCACACCCTTACCTCAAGAAGTTACGAAAAGAAACGAAAATGACCCAAGGCCGTCCAGTGCTTGTCTTTGGCCCTTTCCACTGCACTCATTAGAGTTCAGTCCTTGAAGGAATTGTGGGGGCCAGGGTCGGGGGAGCTCCTGCAGTACTTCTCAGGACTCTAGGGATATAACTGCACAGAACAAGCAACGACACCCCAGTGATTCCGTGCAGGGAGTTCATGCTGAGGGCTGCTGACACGGAAGGGTCCTGAGACGGGGACAAGACAAGCAGTAGTCCATCCACCCACAGGCCACTCCCCCATGGCTAGTGGGGGTCGTCGGCCAGAGCTCTGCAGGGCCCCTTCATGCAGCATAACATCCGGGCCTTCTCTGGCTCCTCCTGGCTCCGGCATTCCCCACTGGCTTTGGTGCCTAAGGGCTACCTGGGACAGCATCACCGGGCTGCTACGAGCCTCTATCCCAAACTTGGAAGGAAGCACAAACGAACGGCCAGTCCCCTTCCCACAGTCACCTACAGTGGGAGGGACGGTTCCGCCCAGTGATGGAGTTTCCAGCGGTCCTTCAAACTGGTGCTCAGGGCAAGCGAAATCCTGAGCACAGCTCTGCCACACGCACGTTACAGCCACGCAGGGAGTTCACCAAGGAGTTAGCTCTCGTAGTTTAATCTCACAGGAACTTACTCGGTTGCAGACAGATTATGCACTGGGATTCTTCCGTATTTGTGGAGTCTAAGCCTTCCCTCCCTTCTCTTCTCCCACCCGGAGCCGAGGGACAGAGCCGCACGCCGTGGGACCCTTCCTCGCCACCGAGCCCTCCCGGGAGCACGGCTGACTTACCCTATCCCAGCTGAAGCACAGGCCCAGTCGGTCAAGCTGGCTCCTCATGTGCTTGATATTACTGTGGAACACAGGGAGACAAGTTTGACTTGAGAGGGGGAATTAAAGCCACAAACGAACTGCACTTTGAGAATGCGGAGAGGAACCGAAAAGGTCTAGACCATTTAAAGTGGCTTTAAGTGTTGTTTTGCCCCAGCAGGAAAAAATTTTAACACTAAGAATTAGTGAAAATACCAATATACTGGAGGACATGTGTTATTTGGACACATACACAATCCACTAGAAACCTGAGTGGTCTTGGCCCTGGGAACGGACCTTTCCCCTAGCTACGAGGAAAGACAGCCCCGTGGATATGGGTACCCCGGGCCCATCCATATGCCTGCATCCTGTACAGGTTGATGCCAAGCCATTACAATTTTAGAAGTGACTGAAAGCAGCAGCCTTCATGTATAAAAGTGGGAATTCCAGACAGCTGGGCTGGGGATGGGGCTCAGCGGTAAGATGCTTACTTCGCCGATACTAGGCCCTGGGCTGGGCCCTGACACCACAAAAAAGGGAACAAACAGCACAAAAACACAGTGGGTTGTCAATCATAATCTAAAATCCAAATTGTCCAACAACTGGGCAAGAGGGAGATCAGCAAGTTAATCCATTTATAATATAATACGGAATAAGGAAATAAATCTTTTTTAAAAGAAAAAGAACTAATTCATTTCTACTGCACCTTCGTTCTGTTCCAACACAATGAAAATACGAAAAGCCCTCTACATGGCTTCTGATTAGCTAACAACAGCTAACTAATTCCAGGCCCTGAGAAAAGACTTTACAGAGAAGTGCTGAATCTTTATCTAATCAAAGGTAGCAACGATGATTACCTCTCAGGTAAGTAAATCAAGGCACAGAGAGGTTAAGTAATTTGCTCAAGGTGACCAGCTACAAGAAAGAAAGGTGGAATTGGTGCCCTGGTGGCCTGGCCCGGGCGCTCCGGTGGAGGGGCTGCAGTCTTTCTGTAAGGGGCCGGGTGACCAGGGCTGAGGGCTCTGCCGTATGTTCTCTGCCTCAACTACTGACTCTGCCACTGTGTCAGGGAAGCAACCGGGAAGATAGCCAAATAAACGCATGTGACTATGGCCCAATAAAACTTTATTTATAATAAACAGGCCAGAATGGCCCAGAGGCCATAGTCTGCCAGCCTCTAGTAGGGCTCATGTCAAACTCACGCAATGTTTGATTAACTGCATGACATGATTGCTTCCCTTTTGTTCATCACTTCCATTGATCTAGAACTAACTATAACTGGAAAAGTAGAAAGGAGGATTAAGAGAGAAAAGGGAAATCGGAGTAGTAGAGGGCAGCAGGTAATGTATCCTTGGGCAGGAGAAAGCGAAGGGAGGCGAGGACACCCAGACAGGCCACAAGCCACAGCCGGCCCGGGGGCTCCTGTCACTCCCACACTCACTGCTCTAGTTCCCGGGCCTGAGAGCGATGAAGACGAGAAATGAAAGATCGGGGGACTGTCACACAGAGTTTGAGTACTGGTCAAACTAACACCACGAGGACAAGAAGCTTATGGATACGGCATGCAATTCCTTCCTCCTCTTTGCCTCCTAAAGGCAAACATGCAGAGGAAGAACCTGGTAAATAACAGCATCCAAATAAACGAACGTGTGATGTATAAACGCCAGCCCTCTTGCATCTTTATTAGGTAAGTGTGTTAAAAGACAAACACCTACGGAAGCCATCCTGCTCGCCACATGCTAGGCTGCAGGGTTCTGCTCTGCTTCTATCTCTCGTGTATAGGCTAAAAAGGAATGTTAAGGTTTTTGTATCCAAGTGTTTAAATGTGCCTGGAAACACGTACCTTTGCGTCCAACTTTGTGGGTCTAAGCTCCTCTCTATGGCAGCGTTTTCGGCAGGTAACCCAAACGCATCCCACCCCATGGGGTGGATGACCTGGTGCGAAGAAGAGAAACATCAGCCATGGCAAATCACTAAATCCACGCGTTCTCCTGCAGCACCCTCTCCTGTGGACACACTTTCTCCCTCCCTAGGTGATCTCCACATCCACGTCGAGGGTGGCCCGAGACGTCGGCACCGAAGGAAATCTAGGAAGTTCCACACCAAAGTGCAGACAGCAGTTATCTCTGAGGAGGGGTTTTCATGGGTACATTTTACTTTCTCTTCCCTGTCTGTATTGTCTAGAATGAACCCAAACTGGTTTCCTGCAATTACAAAATGTTCTTTTCAATTTAAAAAATCTGGGGTCCAGGATAAACCCACCCAAATAACGCAGACCACCCATCTGCGCTCAGGGCCTTCTAACTCCCTGGGCTGGTGAACAGCAAGTGCGAACAAGGCTTGTTCTCCGGAGCCTGTGGCCTTCGTGTGCCTCAAGGGCAAAGGTCCTCAACCTAACCCTGTCCTTCACAGAGCGGGGAAGCAGAATCTTGCCGGACAGCAGCCACTCGGAACTGTTGGGCACGACACGCCATGGTCTCTGTGGAGCACCCAGCACAGCACTCAGCACAGAGCTGGCACCCAACAATAACAGTGTCTGCTGCAATGGCAGCTGCTGCCATCTATCTTTTTGGTCTTCGGCATCTCGCACCCCCAGGTCCTGTGCCAAGATTTCAGTCCCTCTTCTTGGCCACGCCCCACATGATGGCTACATGACAACACACGGGGAGAGTCCTCAACCCCACGGGAGCCGGTCCCGTGCACCCTGAGAGCGGGGCACTTGGGACTGCTGGGGGCGCAGCCGGGCACTGGCACTTCCTACCCAAACCAAACAGACCACGAAGCTCAAACGCGCGGCCAGCCACTTGGCCCCCTCTGCAGTAACGGGGGCGTGGGACCTCTTCCCCAAACAGTGACTGGCTCACACCACGTGCCTGAGCTGAAAGCAGCCCAGGGGTTCTTGCTGCAGCTGGCTGGACCCGGGGAGGCCCTCGGCAGAAGGCAGCCCAGTCTGTGAGCGCCCTGGCCGGCTGATCTTACAGACTGGCCCTCGGGTGCAGAGGGAGGCAATGCCAGCCCTTCTCCAGGCTTGTCTGGAGCCAGGCTGGGTGCTGGGGAGAGGGGACTCTTTCTCCTTGGTCAGGAGCCACAAGGGCTCCGGGTGGCTCTGCATGGCCCCGCAGAGATGTCCGAGGAGCTGAACAGGAGCTAGAGAGAGACAGGCCTTGAAGGGCTGCAGGGACCTAGGCCCAACCCCGCCAGCCTGCCTCCCGCATTTCCTCAGATCCTGCAGGTTACCCGAACTGGTAAAAGCTAATAAACCCCCTTTTCTCTAGAGCTGGTCTGAGCTGAGTTTCAGCTCCTGGCAGGTGAGAATACTAACTAGAACAGACACCACTTAGGACGCAGCTTTCTTCTGAGACCTGCTCCTGTGTTCGTATCAAGCTTTGCAGTTCTTTTTCTTTTTTGTTTTCAAAAGTTTAAAAGAAAAAAAGAAACCACCCAGTTCTGGATTACTAGAAAGATCTGCAATGCCTCCACAGCCAGCCCAAGTCTGCTTCCTGCTGGTCTGCGCCAGCCGGCCGCCTTCTCAGCGGAGGAGCGCAGCTGCTGTGCAACTGCTCCGCAGAGAGGGGAGGACTGCATCCCACTTGGCGTCTCTGTTGGAACTGCCAAAATGGCACCGAGTCAATGTTTCTGCCTGTTCACATTCTGCTAGGTGCCGTCCATACTTCATTTAAATAAAGTCAATACAGGCACTGTCACCAAAAAAACCCGGCTGGATTTACGTAATAGACTTATTCATTTCTATTTCTGTTCCTGGATGGAATTAACATGAAGAGATATTCTTAGTTCACATGTTATCCAAGCTGTCTATGAACATAAAGCTAGCAACATCTTAAAGTTCTTTAATATTTCAAATTCTTAGCAAAAGTTAGCAAAATAGGTGTCTGCCCCAGGGGGAGGAGCAGAGTGCAGCGCAGGCCATGGGGTGCTCCCGCCTCGGGCCAGATCACGGGAGTAAGTGCTCCATTGGGCCATGTGGCTGCTGAGGAGGGGAGGTCCCCTGCTCCCCACCCTGGCTCCCCAGAGCCCTGGCGACAAGGGCAGAGCCACTGTCAGCCTGGAAGACCTCTGCTCCTGATGAGGGGGAACGGAGTGACAATGGCAGGTCACAAAACGTCCAAGCTTGACTCTGCCCCTCCGCAGCAGGTTCTGTTTTGTGACAGAGGTAGAGGGCGTGGTTTCCGGGCTGAGGTACAGTGTGTGCCGAGCATGTATAGGTCAAGGGTTTGATCCCCTGCACTACAAGGAAACTAGACTCTGATGTACTTCCCTGTCTGTGCTTCTACAGGCCAAGGTAGACCAAACATTCACTAGAAGAACTCTTTGGTTTTAAAACTCCTATCCCTTTCTGTCACCATAACTTATTTCTGTTTTTTTTTTGTACCAGAAATTGAACTCAGGACCTTGCACTGGGCAAGCAAGGTGCTGTGCTACTGAGCTATATCCCTGGCCCCATACCTTGTTTTAATTCTTCCACAGTTAAGAAGAACAACACCTACAGCTCCCATGTGCTGGCTAGGCACCATGCCCCATCCCCAAAGCACCTGATGTAGCCAGGGCCTGGCTGAGAGCCCTGATTTCCTAGGTGCTGACCTCTCCTTGCCTTTCGAGTATTTTCTGCAGCTTCCGATCATTTCTCCAGGGATATGACTCAATTTTCATATCTACTGAAGACATACTTTGATATACATGTCCTGTCAATGTGGAGCGATGGGAACATGACATCACAGAGGGTGGCAGAAGACAAAAATGATAATTTTAAAATAATAAATGTAAAAATATTCAGACTGAATCAAGCAAAGGTCCCCGGTAGCTTAACCTGGAAATCCATACAATGAACTCCCAAAGCCAGGTAAACCATCGTTTCCACAACAAACATCTGACAGCTGTAAAATCAAGTGAGAAGCAATGGGGATGGCAAAGCCACCCAGCGATTCGGAGGACAGGACACCGCCAACACCTCCAGACCCCAGAGACAAAGCACACGCAGAGCCGGCAGGGCCCAAAGGCTGGCGCCACAGCAGGCAGGCTTGCACACCCGCCACACAGAACCGGTTAGTGGACGGGCCAGGAGCCAGGCATGGACGGAGGGAGGACAGACATTCCCACAGGAAGCCAGCTGACCCACAGCTTCGGGGACAGTGGGACAGAGGGGTCAGCTTTCAGTCACTAGAAGCAGAGCCAGGAACGCACTGGACAATAAAATGGCTATGGACCAACGAGGCACACTCCCAAGGTGCGAACCCGGCACCAGGCGAGACCTCCCAGGTCCCCAGGAGGTCCTGATGAGGGAGGGACAGGCACGGGGCTCAGAGCCCTGGCTGGGCCTCCTGCCCCTCCAGGCTGAGCCCTGATGTCTCAAAAGCAGCGGACAGGAAGGCAGGCAGGCTGTGCCCGGGGTGCGGGGAAGAACACAGTTCCAGGGAACAAAGCAGAGGCAGACTCTAGGGGATAGGATGGGCCCGGGGAAAGGCCAGGGTCACTTTGTAGGGGTGCTGCAGAGCTTGGGGGGCCCAAGGGGTCACAACCTCATCTATGTTCTATTGCTTTTTTTTTTAGAGAGCAATATGGAATTTTATGTGCAATTTAAAAATAAGGCCTGTGTTCTTATGTTCCTCAAACTCAGCAGGTAGGACAGAGTGGAGTTAAGGGGACAGGAGTGGATGGGAAGCAGGCCGCAGCAGCTGCCCACACCTCCCTGAGGGAGAAAGGAGTAGCCCAGCCTCCTAGCAAAGGGATGGCTGCTTCCCTGCTAAGGCCAGATCTCTCTCCCCGGCATCGGAGAGCAAAACTGTACATCAGAAACCAGCTCAGCTTCAAACTGACAGCAACCATGGTTACTGCTTCTCAAAAAAAAAAAAGAAACCTTGCTATTTTCAGAGTGTCATGGCTTCTCTGGAATAGGTTCAACACTTTATTTCCACGAAATGAGAAACACAACATTTAATTTTGTCTCATAAGTCTAATAACCCACCATTATTGCAGAGTGGATATCAAGTCGAGTGAATACTTCAGCGTGGAAAGCACAAAGGACAGTGCCCCGCCCGGAGCCCAGGCCTCCTCGGGAGGCGGACGGACGGGACCAGAACCCAGCCAGTTTCCATCAAGGCTCTGGACAGCAGCCCCCCTTGCCTCTGAGGCCCATCTGAGAGGACGAGCCCTGCACACCCAGTGACTACTTTGGGGTGCCGTGGAGATCTGGCAGTTGGAAAGCTAAGTGCCTAGTGATGCCCGCTCGGCTCGTCATAAACACCTGCCAACTGCCCAGCACCCTGGGAACCCACGGAGCGCGAATATGGCTCACGCGCCGAGCACTTCCCTTGCTCCCTGATATTCGTGGGTAATTACACTGCACTTACGCAGCTGCCAGACGCGCAGCCTCACTTCTCCTCCTCCGCAATGAATAGCAAAAAGGCCCAAGTGAAAGGCCTGGTGGCTTTCTGCCTGAGACTAATTAATCCAAACCCAACCCTGCGAGGAGGACTTGGCACTTTGATGCTTTCGTCACCTGGCTCCTAGAGCAGAAGGTGCTGGGGAGACCAGCCGAGGTGGGAGGCGGGTAATTTTATTTTCCAGCCATCTGTGCATACAACATATGAAAACACAACAAAATCACCATATGGAGCTAAGCTTTAAATATGTCATCAGGCATTCTATGAGTTTAGAAGAGACCAACTGGGAAAGCAGCCTTTTGGATTCCTGAAACAGGGGAATTTGTCTCTGGCTTCAAATGGCCACTGCTCAGACGTGTAAACCTCAGGACTCCCGCGGGACTGTTTCTATTGGCTGGGCTACGCGCAAACGCTGCACTGCAGTTCGTTTACTTATTTATGTACCCACGGTGGTAACGAGCTGAACTCAGCCTTCACGGTGAGCTATTCTCCAGTCCTGTTTACTCTGCATTTTGAGATGGGGTCTTGCTAAATTGT